TTTTTTTTTTTTTTAACAGGGTAATGCGCGGAGAAGCAGCGTCGCTTATACAAGACGTTGGCGGAATTTACTATAAATGTATATATATATATATATAAAAAAATCCCCTTTCAAGAATAAAGTGTATCAACTTACAACACAACAGACGGCAGAGGGATAAGTGAAACAGACAAAAGACAAACAAGATAATAATCTGTTTCCAATCAGTTAAGCCCTGTAGAATTTGTAATACGCGGTTTGCATATTCCCCCTGTGTTTTGTAATTAATTATCTATCCGTTCGGATGCTCCGCCGACCGACTTTGTTGATATTTTCCAACTATTTTTTGAGTCGGGCGGCGGCGGTCACGGCCGGGAAGCGGCGGAGGAGTGTGGAGGATGCGGAGGAGCGCGGAGGAGCGCGGAAGAGCGCGGAGGAGCGGGGCCGGGCTCCGCGCTTCTCCCCGGAGCGGAGAAAGCCAAACCGGGAGCGGTGGGAGGGCGGCGGTTCCGCGCTTCTCCGCGCTTCTGAGAGCATTTTGGGGGCGGGCGAGGCTTCTCCTCCCCGCGTTCCCCTCCTTTTTTTTATTTTTTTTTTTTGTTGTGGTTTTTTTTTTTTTCCTCGGTAAGAGGAGGGGGGGGGACGGTGCAGGTTTTAACATTAAACAAACCCAGCAAGCATCTCCTCGCCGGGCCATAGGCGTTTCTGAGTGACTGCGTTACAAATTGTAAATTTAAATAGCTCACAGGATTCATTACCTCCCGCGTCTGATTTCACCCAGCCGTGAAAAATTGTCCTGGTGTACCACTGAGAAAGGGTTTGCCGCAAAGAGCCACAGCCTAATCACCAGCTTTCTCTTTCTCCCAACAAAAGTGTAATTATTTTGTTTTGGGTGTAAATATAACCCACGGTACACACACACACAAAAAAAAAAAAAAAAAAAAAAAAAAAAAAAAAAAAAAAAAAAAAGATAAACCTCCAGCAGCGTCTGAATGCATTACAGGGCCGTTTAAAAAGATCCGTCCTAAATTAATACCAAGGTTAAAAGGGGAAGGCAGCTGGGACATGGAAATTTCCGTATTATAGAGCGGGGGAGGGTTTGGGGAAGGGGGGGGTTGGGGGGGGGCGAGGT